AGTAAATCAAATTTTTTGGTCCCATCCCCCTATGGGATTTCTAAAGCTAAACGTGGATGCTGCTATTAATGGTGATTGGAAGGCTTGCGATTTAGGCGGGATTTTAAGAGACGAGTGTTTCACAGTGTTAGGATCTTTTCAAGAAGCTGATGGTCTGGGTCATTCTTTAATGGAATTTAAGGCCATTAAACATGGTTTAATTTTCTTTGAATCTTCTAGCTGGTGCTCTAAGAGACGGTTGATTATTGAGAGTGATAGTAAGTTGTCTGTGGAGTGGATTAAGAAATTGCAGATAAGATAAGGAACTTGGAGGGCGTTATTCGTTGGATAGCTAGGCTAGCAAACTTAGAGGCAGACATTTTGGCAAAGTCTAAAATTGGCTAAGATAGGGAGTTTTGGTTTGGTTTTTCTTTTTTCTTGTTTTTTGGTATTATCTATTGTACGGGGGGTAAGTTTGGTTTTAGCAAAATCCCAAATACATTGTGATGAATGTAGATGCGGCCATGTTTCTTGATTTTTTTAGGTTTTTTTTTTTTTTAAAATTTGATTTATTTTCTGATTATATATTTGGGATTTTGTTTTTTACCTAAATCTAATAAAGTGTTGACATTTTGGGTTTTCTTTTCTAATTACATGCTAGTGTTGTTTTATTTGTAAAGGTTTGTCGGTTCTACATGTGACCAATTCATTTTCATGTATGCATGGTTTGGTTTCTCTTTTTATGTTTTTCTATGTCTTTGCTTTCTAAGAAAAATTACTAGAAATAAAATTTAGGACATTGTATTTTTATATTATTTGTTTGTAAAAGTAGTTTCTATATATATGTCTACTTTTACAAACAAATATGTCTTCTTGCTCTATACTTTACCTATAAATATGTCTTATTTTCTCTCTTTCATATGGTAATTAATTTTTTAAAGAAATTGTAAAGTAGGTTTGGGACTCGGAAAAGAGGCTCTTGTCTCATGTATATGTCTTTAAAGAAGAAATTACTTCTTTTGCAGTTATGCAAACTAGTCCCGACATGCAAGTCTAGCTTCGGTTCTTTGCTCTACTGTAGGATATTTCAACTTTCAAGAGAGCACATGCGACAATTGAATTTTTCATATCGAATTAATTTCTAAATTTGCAGGTATGTTGATGATTCTGATGGCAACATCAAGAGTTTTAAGATTTAACCAGAAATACGTCATGTTATACAAATGAAATACACTATACCTTTCTCAGCTTCCCATGGTAAGTAGACGTACATATCAGCTTAAGATTTTAAGTGTGTTAAGCACTATCGTGCATCGTAATCTTTTAAAAAATAAACTTGACAAGGCTCAAGCCTTACACCTTTGGGACGTTCTTCTTTACTCTCTAGTTTAGGCTTGATGACAGTGACATCATTATACTCTCCTTGCCTACAAAATCCTCTTAAATGAATAAAGGATGCTACATGATTCATTTGGAGTTTCCTAATGGCTCATTTGAAACCTACAATGCCAAACTTCAGAGTTGACTGTTTATTTGAAAAATAGAAAGCTCTATGACCTTAATACTATCCCTGATTACAGGGTATATTGTTCATGTGTTAGTTCTGTTGCTATCATTCTGAGAATTCTTGAAGTTTACTTTGTGGTACCATGTCTTACTTTATTGATATATCAAACTGGATTGACCATCTTGTTTAGGATATCCAACTGAAGTTTTAGCTGATAGGGCTGTTATGTCCATACTTCCTTAGCCAACAACTGAAAATAAAAGGTACTCTTACTTTCTCATTCTGTTAATTTTCGTTTATAATTTAAGTTTTGAGGAGATGCCGTTTTTCATGTACCCTTGACTCTTACTTGTAATATTTAGAGATGGTTTTATGATTTTGTGGGAAATTTTAGACAGCAATGCAACTCGCCGGTTTAAACACTGAAAAATGCCTTGTAACACATAATGGAAGAAAAATAGCTGCTCAAAGTTTGAAAAGACCGTTCCGTATGCTTTAGTAATCCCAAGTGGCAGGTTTGAGTTATCTAATTAAGCCTTCATCATTTGTCTTTTGATATGATGTTAATAGTTAATGAGCTTTTTTATCTATCTTTGCACTGGCAGTAGTAGGTTCTTTTATCTAATGAAGTCCGACAAATGAAAATATGATTAAACAGAAGTCCTTATTTCCCACTCCACTCCCTTGGCTCATGAAAGTGGTGCAAAACAGGTTAGAAAATGATCAATTAAATGTGCTTGGGCAGTAAAGTTGACTACAAGTTTGAAAAGTGAAAAAACCTCAAGTTGTAAGAAAAGATGAAAGTTTCTTTTAGCGGTGACACAAAAAGTGTGTTGGCTGAAGATCAACAGCATCAAGGAAATAATAATATGGCTTTAGAAAGACTAAATGAAAAGGTTAATGGGAGTCCCACTGTTGGAATTTCAGATGGTCATGGTTCAACAATAAATATGTTGCCTTTAGCAAATGAAGCGACCTTGTGTAAATGTGAGACCATTACAAATAAAACACAATGTTTTTTGTCTTTCAATAGAAGACTTTGAGGTTTAGTATTTCATGTCAAGTATATGATATGACTAAAATTGCCCATCTTTTCAATCAAATTGATGAAGTTTATTTGCTATATAAAATTGCAGGCTACAGGAGAGATGGTTAATTACTATGAAGGCAGACCTGAACCTCAAGATTACAATGGTGGCTCTAAGGTTATACATTCGCACAAGAACTGCACTGAATGGTAAAAGTGTTCATAACCGAATATGCTCTTTCAGTACAGTTTCGATAATTTTAATATATAATAATGTTAATTTTTTCAGGGCTCCTAATGTTTATTTTGAAAATGAACTCCAGAAGTCGAAAAATAAAATGCTCCTGTTGCGGACTCAAAGGAGTTTCCATGTTCCCTGTGCAAAATTAGTCTCACAATGCCGGTGGGATACTGTAAGCGATACAAATTGGGCAGTTTTCTGGACTTCATATGATTTTTTGGGAAGTTAAAGACTACGTTCCTTGTTAACGAGTGTATATTTATTTTGGATCACAATAGGATAACTTTGTAATGTTGTGCCCTCTCCATGCTTCTTCTAAGTTGCCTAATGAAGAGTCAGAATCTCAAGGAAGTAGAGAAACAAGTGTTTTAAGAGGGTATGTTGAAGTTTCATCCAGTTTATTCTAGTTTCTTTACAAACTTCACCTTTTCATGCTCATGGAAATTTCATTAAGTTATTGCTTCATTTGTAGACATTTGCCAGTTCACAACAAGGAATATCCTAGAAGAGAAGAAGTCAATAGGCAGAAGAAAAGGAATCTTTGTGAATTGAGCGACAAATTGGTTCTTTGTTTCTCAGCTCTATAGTTGAAGAAAATGTAAGTGTCACAATTTATTGTCCTTATGCATTTTTGCTTTTTCATTCACATTAGGAAAATCCTCGACATTTACTATAATATTATTTATTTAAATTAAAATATCATAAATTAAATTAATTAATTTATAAATATAATAAGGATTAGAATTCACTTATATTGTGTAAAACTCTTTTAGGTTTGCATCTTTTTAATCTCATTGGATTGAGAGAAATCAAAGGATGAGATTAATTTGTTTTTTAGTGAATATCTGTTCATTTTCCATGGTTAATCTTAGTCTTTAATTTCTTTCATCCAATGATCCTAAAATGATGTAAAATTAAAGAGTTTTACACACTATAATTGGATTTTGCCCCCATATAATAATATTAATATTTAAATTATAATTTTAAATTATATTAATATATTCTTAAATTAAATTGATTTAAATTATTATAATATTATTTAAATATTTTTATATAATTTATTCTTAAATTAAATTAATTAATTTATATAATTTTAAATATAATAAGGATTAGGATCCATTTATACTATGTAAAACTCTTTTAGTTTTACACATTTTTAGAGCCATTAGATTGAGATTGATTCGTTTTTTTAGTGAATATCTTTTCATTTTCTACGATTAATTTCACTCTTTAATTTCTCCCATCTACTGGTCTTAAAATGGTATAAACTAAAAGAGTTTTACACAGTATAATTAGATCCTGCCCTATATAATAATATTAATATTTAAATTATAGATTTAAATTATATTAATATGTTCTTAACATAAATAATTTAAATTATTCTAATATTATTTAAATATTTTAAATTAAATTAATTTATTCTTAAATTATATTGTTTTATAGTTTATAAATATAATAATATTATTATCATAAGAATTTAGGTATAATTACCCTTTTATCCTAAGCCAACGGTTGAAATCCCATCTATAAAAATAAAACTGAGCACTACTTATCACCCATTTAAGAAACTTGCCCATTGATTATATCAATCAATTCTTTAGATTCTCAGGTTAGTTTCTTTTACCCAATTCTTGTATCTGTTACATTTTTCTTTTAATTTATAATTTTGTTAGATTATATTTTGTGATGAATTTTTTCTGGGTTTTTTAAAAATTTGATTTATATTCTGATTACAGATTAGGGATTTTGTTTTTTTACCTAAATCTAATAAATTGTTGACATTTGAGTTTTTATTTTTGATTACATGTTAGTGTTGTTTTGAACCTGCTATTTCATTTGCAAAGGTTTCTCAGTTCTGCATGTGACCAATTCCCTTTCATTTATGTCTGGTTTGGTTTCTCTTTTGTTGTGTTTCTCTGTGTTTGCTTAGTAAGAAAAAATATGAAAAATAAAATTTAGGACATTGTATTATTTGTTTGTAAAAATAGTTTCTATGTACTTCCATTTTCATTGTTTTCACATGTTCATGCCTTTGGTCTAGTGATTCAATTTTCTTTCTTCAGTTAACTCTGCCATTTTTTATTCAAATTATTTTTTTAATGTGACAATCGATGTGTTATTTTTTTATTGCATGAATATGTTTATAATAGGCTTTCAATTCAGGTTTATTCTTCATAATTTCTCATATTTTGTTCCTTTTAATTTTGATTTTTTCTTGACTTAAAATCTTTGAAACGTTTCAAATATGGATGATATTTTACTTTTATACAAGGGTTTGTTTACCTGATATTGATACAGCTTCAAGGGTTTACTATGAAACAAATGGTGTATCCATGGAAGACATGTGAAACTATCTGGTGTTCTCATGGACTAACCAAGGGTTCACTGGTTTACCTTAATTGTCCTGTCCAATTTATGTTTAAATCTACAAAGGTAACTATCCTTGAATCCAGGAACAACACAGGTTTAGCCTTAAAAATTCTCTTTCTTTTTTGTTTGAAACTTGGAATAAATAAGCAAATGAAGTAGTGGAAATTTTTATGAATATGGATGATTTGTGTACAGATGGAGATGCTATTTTGCTCAACGGTAGTTGATATTTCTTTCTTACTTGAGCCAATGGTTCTAACTAGAAAGATCTTTAAGGCATGGAATTCTTGTTCTCAAGTAAGCAACAATACCCTTTTTTTATTATTTGATTGACTTCTTTCTTGCACCCATACCCTTCTGCATTGCCAGGGGTAGGGTTGCATGAAATAATATATCTGACATTGAAGATTTAATGTAGAAATCCAAAGGTGAGGAGACTGGCGAGCACACTCTAGCAATGCTTAAGGCAGAGAAAGAAGGACTAGAATCACCACTTCACAATGAGAAATGGTTGTTTGTCCAGCTAAAGCAAAAACTAGCATATGCAGAAGCTTAACGCAGACATGTACAAGGTATAATTTTATTAATTTATTCTTAAATTAATTTATTTGTATAATTTATAAATATAATAATATTTAAACTATAGATTATAAAATATTATAAGAATATACTAATTTAAATTATATCAAGGGTTTGGTGATCAGTTTTATTCACTCCTTTTGACCATCATTGTTGAAAGTAAAATCATTCATGGTTAAGTTTATAACTCCTATTGTGAAGGTATTACTGGCGAGAATTTACATGTTCAATAATTTGCAGCAAGCTTTCTTGTTGTTTATGCTCTTTCTTTTTTGCACAGGCTTCTCACATGGTCAACAATATGAAGGAAGAGATACCATATTATTCCATGCTGGAGTACCATTCTCGGAAGGAAAGCTTGGGTGGTAATACAAAGGGCTAGATCATTAAGTACCGTTTTTTATTTCTATCCCTTTATTTATTTATTTATTCTGCATATATTAAATGAATATGCTTTTGCTTCATATATTAGACAAAAGAAATGAAAAACAAGATGCTTTGTTTCTATCCTATCATGATCCTTGATATGTGTAATATTTAGAGAAAATATATAAAGACTATGAGGTTAGAAATGCATGTGTTTACACATATTTCATCTATCTTGATTTTTTCTTTTCTCAATCTTGTACAGGAATGTGCCTATGAAAGCATGCAAGCTGGTATGTATCGACTTAAACATTTAGGAATCACACAACTAACAACTCTAACCAGTGCTATGAGTTAACTCTTGCTACTGCATCAAACATTGAATTGGAGCTACAGATAACTCCATGGAATCTAAGTGGCAATTTTGTTGCATGTACAAGCCATCATCAAACATTGAATTGGAGTTGCATCAAACATTTAAGGTATGCTTTTGTTACCTCTGTTGAACAAATTAATATGGACTTGATGCAACTAAAAGCATGTCATATCTGATTAATTATCACATGAGAAAGAAACGTGACAGTTTAACATGTTTATGATGCTATATTTCTTAATATGGATTTCTTGATACTATCATTAATAATGCTATATCAGGATTTCTTGCTTGGTTAATTGCTCATTCCTTTTTTATAGTACTTACACTTTCCCCCTTGATTTTCTGTTTTGGCGATGATAGTTTAGTCTTTATACTATTGGTTTTGAATTTCATACAGGTAACAACGTGGATCAGTTGTCATACTCTTGGTTTTGAATTTCATATAGGTAACAACGTGGATCATTTGTCTATGTATTTGGATGTTGCCGACCCAGAAAGTTTACCCTGCTGGAGTGGATATGCACAGTTCACTTTGACAGTAAATAATCAACTTCAATCAGAAAAGGTATCATCGTTTACCTTGCTGTCTATGCACTTACTGTTCAAGGTATCATCGTTTATGATGCTATATTTCTCAATCTGGATTTCTTGATACTATCATTAATAATGCTATATCAGTATTTCTTTTTTCCTTGTAATTTTTTTTGAAAGTTATTTCAAGGTACTTATATGAACCTTAATTTTTCTTCAGTTTGTCCAGAATCAAGGCATCCTTAATATATCAATGTAAATTTCAAGAACCATATTGAGGCAAGTTACTTGCTTGGTTAATTGTTGATTCTATCATATTAGATATGAGAGTAATCTACTTTTACTGTCATCAGAATCAGTATTGCCTATGTTTTCTTTCTCTATACTTTACCTATAAATATGTCTTCTTTTCTCTCTGAATTTGCAGGTATGTTGGAGATTCTGATGGCAACATCAAGGTTTTTAAGATTGAACAAGAAGTACGTCATGTTATACAAATGAAATACACTATACCTTTCTCAGCTTCTCATGGTAAGTCAGCTCACGGACAGCGATCAATGTGTGTACACAGCACCGCTTGAACTTCCCTCTTTCAGTGATATGAAGGATTCTGATGATGAAGGGTTTTCTAATGTAAGTTTTCTCTTGCTTTCGGCAATGCTAGCTAAGTGCATTTAGTAAAATTTTCTACTCAAGTATCCAAAACAATTTGTATAAATAATATATGAATCTTCATTCATTTTAATGGCAACTGAACTCTGTGATGGTCATCATCTAGTAATGGTCTGAAACATTTTACTTTGTCTTCATAAAATCATATAGGAGGAGATGCTCTGTTTTTTATCCTATTATTATTTAAATGCTATTACTATTGGAATGTTGTGAATTTGAATTGTAGTGTCTTAATGGTTGGATCCCATGTCAGAGATGCAGCCTTTTCGGTGTTGAAAGATGTAGCAAAGGTAATATTCACTCATTGTCTTTTAATCTCTTTAATTCCACAAAATTTATCCTTATATAAATAAAGATTGGATGCTCGAGTTTATTATGTGTTTTACATATATATTTTTAATTAAATAGACTACCATTGACTTTCTTGCCAAAAGAGTTAAATCTATAAATCATATACGTGGTTTAAGGGGTGATTTTTCCCCGGAACAAACAAATGCCATATGACAACCTTTTTGTTGTCAGGATCTTAGGTTTTGCATAGTTTTCTCTGTAATTTAAACTTTCTATGAAATTAATTCCGTGGATGCGTATTTAATGTTAACCTACTGGGTTTTGGGTGAATAATTGGAAAAAGTTATTATGTAAGTTGAGAGTGGATGATTTGGGTTGTGATAATCGTATGTGTGAAATTAGGCACATTATGTTTATGCATGGAATAAAATGTATGTTTATGAACATAAGTTTTTGATGCTAACGAATTGTTAATTTAAGGCATCATATTTGTTAAACGTTGGGAAGTTTGTTGCATGCTAAGTAGTTTCAGACTGAGAACTATTGTGTCTGCTCCAATGAAAAATGGTACATTGTAAATGTAGTTTGATGTTTATTGCATCTCCACTTTTAGGTTGGGATTTCTTTGCCTATTTCTAAGTGATTTTTAGGTTGGATGCTTAGCAAGGCCTTAGTGATAGGTTGCTTGTTGTTTGTCACATTTTTATTCTCCTGGATTTTCAATTTTCAAGATAAATCCATGTGGCTGAACTTGAAATCTTCTGATACAAAACACATACTCTGTGAATGTCTTGAATGCTTTTATTTTATATATATGACATTGAAGATTTAATGGGTTCATTCTCATTTTCTGTATCGTTAGGTTTATTTATTTCACTTAAAGTTTAGAGTGTATGCAGAAATCCTGAGGTGGGGAGACATTACGAGCACACTCTAGCAATGTTCAAGGAAGAGAAGAAAGAACTAGAATCACCATTCCACAATGAGAAATTGTTGTCTGCCCAGTTAAAGCAAGAACTAGCATATGCAAAGGCTTAAAACAAAAACCTGTACGAGGTATAGTTTAATTAATTTATTTTAAAATTAAATTATTTATAAATTATAAATTATAAAATATCATAAGATTATATTAATTGAAATTATGTTAATATATTCTTAAATGAAATTTTTCTAATATTATTTAAAATATTTTTATATAATTTATTCATAAGATTATATTAATTGAAATTTTGTTAATATATTCTTAAATTAAAATTTTCTAATATTATTTAAAAGATTTTTTATATAATTTATTCATAAATTAATTAATTTATATAATTTATGAATATATTAAGGATTAGGATCCATTTACACTGCGCAAAACTCTTTTAGTTTTACACTTTTTAGTGCCATTGGATTTAGAGAAATCAAAGGTTGAGACTAACTCGTTTTTTAGTGAATATCTGCTCATTTTCCACGGTTAATCTCATTCTTTAATTTCTTTCGTCCAATGGTTCTAAAATGGTGTAAAACTAAAAGATTTTTACATAGTGTAATTAGATCTTGCCCCATATAATAATATTATTTAAATTATAAATTTAAAATTATATTAATAAATTCTTAAATTAAATTAAATTTAAATTATTATAATATTAATTAAAACACACTCTAGAAATCCAAAGGTGAGGAGACTGGCGAGCACACTCTAGCAATGCTCAAGGCAGAGAAAGAAGAACTAGAATCACCCCTCCACAATGAGAAATTGTTGTATGTCCAATTAAAGCAAAAACTAGTATATGTAGCATAGGCTTAAAGCAGACATGCACAAGGTATAGCTTTTTTAGATGTATTATGATGGGCCACATAGTTCTTCGACTGTTTTAATTGTATAAGTTTGGAAAAGTAGCTTAGAAAATTTACTTACTAAATTCCTTTTGCATCTTAGGAGCTCCAATCCGTACGCGATCAACTTGTCTTGAGCAGTGAAGATGTTTCAAAATAGAGATATACTTGAAACAAGAGAACAATGGTACGTTGCTTATAATGTTTTGATTTGTTTCCCTTACTGATTGGTTTTCAAACTCTGATTTATTAATTTATTCTTAAATTAAATTATATAATTCAAACTCGGATTATTAATATTTGATTTGGATAATGATTATCATTGTTTGATTCAGATTATGATGTGAATTGTGACTTTATAGATTTTAAAGACATGATGTGTTAGATGATGTGAATTATGATGTGATTTGTATAATGTTTGATTCAATGTCTCTCTGTAGGGTGCAGTATTTTTTTGTTAGTTATTTGATTGATAAACATTTTCTTTGTTTATTTTGAGCATAATTGTTTTGAGATTATTGATTGTATGGTATTTTGTTTGGAAAATGTCTTGTGAAATGTTGATATATCGAACTTAGAAATTAGGCAATGCATTTGGATTATTTATATATATGTTATATTCTTACATTCAGATAAAATTAGAATTCTGATGATATATTTTGTCAAGTTATATAAGGATGTCACTTTGGATTCAGTGGCCTCAGCCTTTGTGGTAGACCCAACTTCGGATGATTTGTAAGGTGTACCGGTGCATGATTATTTGCATAATATTCGAAAAATGATTATTATTGCTTGTTTTAGATTATTATTATTATTATTATTTGTTGTTTGAAAAATGTTATGTGAAATATGTTGATATATCAGATTTACAATTTATGCGATGCATTTAGATTATTTGTATATGTAATATTTTACATTCG